TATCACGTTACATCAGCATCTGCCAAACAGAGGTGCAAAAAGAAAGAAATTGCTCAACCAGAGAGCAAAAAATAACAGCAGCAATAGCAAAACAACAGTAACAGCAACAACGCTTGAATCTGTGTGGATGAACTAGACCCCATTCCAGAAATCCAAATGATTAGTAAACCCGAAAATTAGGATAACCTAACCTATCCAACTTGAGGTCTCCACGAACCAATCGTGGCAATTCCAACCATGAATCATACACTATGTTGGACTTTAACTCAGTTCCAACCTTAGATAAGCGGTTTGCAGGCAAATTCGCTTGACGATAACAATGAGTGACGGATTGAAAGAAATGCCTAAAAGTGAGCAATTGGTCCAGCTCTCGTTGCAAATCCCATGGACATCTACTAATCCCCTTAACCATTTGGACAAGAAGTGACGAATCTGATTCCAAATGCAAGCAAAAGAAACCTCGCATAACACAAAGCTTAACTCCAAATAACAAAGCCTTCAACTCTGAATGTAAACTCGGTATGACACCCCAATAACACGCAAAACCCAACAAAAAAACCCCCGAGCTATTTCTCAAAACCCCCCCACCGCCACTCCTTCCCGGATTACCAAGAGAACTACCATCGGTATTCAGTTTACATGTCGACAAGACTGGAGGGATCCACCTAACCAGGATGAATTTAAATGGTTTTTGCCAACTCACCAGTGAAGAGTAAAAACATGGCCACGAGTACCTTCCAACTCCAATGTCTGTAAAATGTAATTGGAAAATGTCATAGAGATCAGAAAGAACAAAAGTATTAATCTGCATGACCGACAACACCTTGCCTTCCCAAACCGCAGTATTCCTAGCTTTCCAAAGATGCCAGCAAATCAGCGATGGCAGCAACTGATAAACCAGTTTAAGCTTAATGTTTTTAGCTGGCAGCAACCACCATTGAATGACTGCATGCTTTACCGTTGAAGGAGTGACAAACTGGCCAATATCAACCTGAAACGATTTCCAAACTTGGCGAGGGATTTCACCTGTACAGAAAACATGATCAATAGAATCAAACCCAGGATTTTGGCAGCAAACGCAACGAGATGGTCCGCACACACCAAAGCGCTGCAACACATCCTGAACCGGCAGTCTCCAAGATAGCATTCTCATCATAAAGAATGAGATTTTTGCTGGCAAGTCTTTCACCCAAATGGTAGATGAAAAGATTGACGTATTGGCAACGGTGCGGACCACCTTATAGGCTGAAGAAAAGGAAAATGAACCAGAAATTTCTAAATCCCACACCATCCTATCAGGTTGATTAGAAACAACATCCGGGGGAATGATTTGTAGAATCGTAGATACAATGTTTTCTGGGAGCCATTGTCGAAGCATTGGAATGTTCCATTGACCATTTGAAACAAAATCCGCCACTGTGTGATCTCCAAAAATGTCGATCTGCTGACATAAAGGACCTGTACCAGTCCAATTCTCATGCCAGAAGTTTATCAAGCCATTCTGCAACACCCACTGAATATGGGAATTTGCCAAAGACTGATATGTAACCAATCTCTTCCAAGTTACCGATTGTAAAGGCTGAAATTCCGCTTCGCAAGCATGCAATTTATGTAAATATTTATTGTACATAAATTCTGCCCAAAGAGACTGACGTTGCCTTAAAGACCACCATAACTTCAATGAAAAGGCATTAAACACATCAGTCAAAGCCCTCACTCCCACACCCCCTTCGGCATACGGCTTACACAATGAATCCCATGCAATCCAATGATACCGAGACCATTTATCAGTTGTGCCCCATAGAAAATTTGCAAATGCTTTCTCAAGGGTGCGGAGAACACCCTTTGGAGGAGTTGTAGCAGCTAAGACATGAATAGGCAAAGATGATAGAACATTTTTGAGTAACACTAACCTCCCTCCAGATGACAAAAGCTTCTCCTTCCAAGACAGAATTCTCTTAGCAACTGAAGTGCAGATATCTGAAAAATAACTGCTTTTCCTTCTCCCTGAATAGAGAGTACAGCCAAGATATCGAAGAGGAAGTGACTTAGCTTGAAAACCTGAGATTTGTGAAATGACACGTTTACGAGGTAAAGTCAAAGCATCATGATCAACAAAGCAACTTTTTTGAGAATTAAGTTGCTGACCAGATACACAACAATAGTTCTCCAAAACACTCATAACTTTCTTCAAAGTACGCTTAACTCCACTGCAAAAAATAATCACGTCATCCGCATAAGCTAGATGCGTGACAATAGGGCATGAAGTAGGGACCTTGAAGGGAAGGAAGCCTCTCTGTCCTACCAAAGAATTCAGCGATCTAGAAAAAACCTCTGCCCCAAAATCTTTTTATTTCATATATACTTAAAATCTTATATACACTGACAGTGTATATACTATCATCGTTGGATTCATGACATGTGTGCAAAAGTTGAATTTTAAATTTAAATTTTGCAAAATTATCATTCATCCAACTGTCAGTGTAGGAAAGATTAATCCTATACTTAAATACATAATGGAAGAAAGTTGAAAATTTTGTAACAACTCTTTTATAGCAAACATAGCTCGCCAAAAAGTGAGAGCCCAAACTTCTTATGTTTCTTTAGATTCGTTTATGTGTTTGATGACTAAGGTATGTATTTAGCACTTCATTGATGGTTTGATAGTAAATTTATTGTATACAACTAGGGGAAGCCCGTGGGAGTTTAGCATATGTGATAAAATATTTATTTAAATAAATTTATAAAAACGATAGTAGAATTAGAACTGTATGGTAATTGGTTTAATTGAATCAGTTGAAGTGCATGAAATTATAAGTAAATTGGCCAAATCAACAAACTTATAAAGGAAAACAAATTTATAAGTAAAAGAAATAGGGTTGTAGTAGATAATCACACCATACCACAACAACAATAGCAAAAATATCATTACCTTTCTTACTATACCATTGTAATACAATCATAGCCATATCCAATCAACAATTAACATGTATCAACTATAAGGTCAGATTTAGATCCTACCTTGGTCATGAAATTGCAGTCAATAGATAATCTTTAGTCGCAGTTTAATCACCTGCAGCCACGAACATCAGATTTTGGAAATATAGTTAGAAAATGTAAGAAGGTTCCCATGGATATTCATATGTATGTATCATGTATTCCATTATGAAATTTCCATATTCAAACAATAGCTATTGAGAAAATATTGCAGTCACAACTTTTGTTGTATCAGTTAAACATCCAAAACTCTACAAGGAAAGAAAGTAAATGAGCATGCCTGTCCAAACACCCATAACAAAAAATTGAGCACAAGCACTTGAAGCAACATTCTTCAATATTAAAAGCCTTCATTGTTGTCAAGTTGAAAAGCACTACAATTATATTTGTAACGGATTGGAAATATGAACCAAAACCAATCATGTTCATTATTAAGTGCTTCTTGAACCAATCATCTTTAGCATTAAGACCCTCAATTATTGTAGCTATAAAAGCTACCCAGCAATTATAAAAGAAGATGAAGAGCATTGCAATTACATTTATAAGTGGTTTAAACACCACTTAAAAGCTTGATAATCACATGGAATATAAGCCAATTGCAAATGGGAGGACACAATAGTCAAACCCAACTCAACTATACACTATAATGTTACACATTTGGTTTAATCACTTGCATTTGATTTTTTCCCTACCTAAATTATCCCCAACGATGGCAGATGAAAAATTTTCCAACAGTCATCTACAAACTCCTTTATATATATATATATATATATATATATATATATATATATAGGATATAGGATATTCTTGAGTTTCATATGTCTTCTTGATTATAACCTGACTGCCTTTGTATCGAATTTAATTTATTGATTTTTCTTTTGTGTAGCTTTTGAATTCCAATCAAATAATAGCATCTTTTTTCACTCTATAGTATTTGGTGCCTTTTCTGCAATTGAAACCCATGATACTACTCTGGAACCCTAAATGGTGGTTGGGCTACTATGTTCTCCATCGCATTATATTTGATATTTGCACATTTGTTACCAAATAAGTTAATTTTTATACTTTTAGAACTATTTCAATATCTATCAGTTAACTTGTTAAAAGAGTCCCATTATAATGTCGAATTTGAAAATGCCAAAAATGAATCAATGCAACAGACTTTGAGCACTCACTAGCACAAATACCAATTTTATCGTTAAAGAGTACTACTTGCACTTTTGGATCATCATTGGTCTTGCGGCAGTACAGAGAAACACCATTTTTGGCACTTAAGAATTTGCCCTTGTAAAATACTTGTTCTTGATATTATTTTGCGGCTCAAGATCACTAGAGCAGCTTGCTTTTTGCAATTCATCTAGGTATTTTCAATTAAATTTGTAATTTTTTTCTTTTGATAAGGCATCTTTTAATTTGCAAACTTGCATGTGATTTTGGCATCTTGGAAATTACATTAATAAAAAAGTTTTTCCAAAAACATTGAATTTTAGGGATATATGTGTGTTTATACACACACATACAAGTTATACCGCCACCGGTAACCTTCTTGACGATGAGCCTTACACACACACGCACGCATACATACATACATATATATTGAGTGCAAGTTTACCTTTTCAATTATAACATGCTATAAATCGAGTGGACGAGAGCAAAGGGCTATTGATGAAATAAAATGTTGAAACCTGAGTGTCCAGATTTCACTCAATATTAAAACTAATTTGTAATCGTAAGTTTTTTCTAACTTTAGTCTTTTGTTGCATATGTACGTTACATCAGATGTTTAGCATCATCAAATAGTAGAACGTAACAACTTATTACTTACTCTATGGTTTAACCAGGTTTAGATTAGCTTTCTACTATGGTGCATATAAATCAGGGAGTATATATCTTATTAAACACGTTTGAATATATTTTTAAGGTTCCATACTTCGATTGGGGAATCAGTTCTGACAAACTCCAGAAGGAACATTTCATCAAGCTAGCTTACTTGTATTGGAAGTACACAAGCACTTCATCATATTGCGTTGTGATTCCAAAAACATAATTGATTGTACTCTTTTATTGCCAATTTGCAGACAATGAATGGATTTACCTTAACTGGGCAAATGAGAATAAGCTATAAAATCTTGCAACAAATGAGCCAAGACATTTTATACTCTTCTCTACCCTGAAAAAAATAAATCGATCCCATTAGAGGAATCAAAAATTGGAACTACTCGTGGGCTCAGGGTCTTCTGGTTTGAGAGGAATTTACAGTCAATGATGACAATCCAATAGTATCAGGGTTCTTCAGCTGCTCGAGTTGTTTCTTACCCAGGCGAAGCAAGTATTCAATGTACTGGAAATTCTTGCGATCGATTTGCTTGGCATTGCGACGGAATTCAGATGACACAAATGACTCAATCTTGTGTCTCTCTTCTGGAGATTTGGAGTGTGCTGCTCGCAGGAATCCTCTATACAGAGCAAGCACTTGCTTCTGCATTCCAGAGAGCCTTGGCCCATTCGAGAGTCCCATTATATTGCCTTTTTAGATCTTAAACAATGAATAGTATTTTGTCTATCTCTGTAGTGCTCTGTTGCAGCCTGAAAGAAAATAACAAAAAGATTGAATTACTTATATGCATGCCTAAAAATGAAAGCGGAAGCAAAATGCAGGATAAATGAAGAAAGCACAAATTATGCATGGCGAAAGGAAAGGACTCGAACCTCCCCCTGGCCAGTGAGCCACACACACACACACACACACAGATATATCTGAAAATATTTTCTCAAGATATCCACCAGGACTGACACACACTCCTTTTTCTAGCAATTGCAGACAGTACCCCTCTAATTTCAGAAACCCCCTATGTTCATGTTTCGGGCAACAAAAAACCCAATTTGCCTATGTAAGCAAAAATACTCAATGAATATCCTAAAATGCCTCCTATTAAACCCTTTTTTTTAAAGGTACGTCCCATATCCAATCACCACCACCATATTCAATCTCCTCCACTACAGCCACCAGCCTTAGAGTTCTCTTCCCTACCACCACCATTTTCAATCATCAAAACAACACAAATCGAAAATCCTTTGACCACATATCCTTATACCCATATCAAGAACCAAGTATTCTACCAAGAGATCCACCATCCATTCAATCCGACAAAAGCTCAGCCTTCATCAACTCTCATAAACACAAGACAAAGACCATAACCAACAAATTACTCGAAAAAAAAATTTTAATTAAAGTATAAAAACTGCAATGGATTCATAGGCCAACTAAACAGAAAATTAGACAAGTTAAACTTCTGAACGTCATTGTGGAAGGAAAATTGAGGAGAATTCTCCATTCAGTGCTTGTTCTAAGCAAATTACAGTTATCATAGGGCAATGATGGCCACTGCTTGTGCATGAAATTCTCCTCTAATTTCTTACCAATAGCATAAAAGCACAAGCAAAATGCAAAGGGAACATCAAAATCAAAAACCAGCACCCAGAAGTTAGTTATCATTATCCCCAAAATAGTCTACATCCATAAACAATATAATAAAGGATGTACCAATAAGTTCTACATGGTATAGGAATTTTAGGGATTAGACAGAGGAAAAAATAATCATGGCCACTGGTTGTGGATAAATGAAGGAGAAAGAAAGAAAAGTGGATGTTGGAAGAATTTGTGGCTAAGTAATGGTGAGGAAAAGATTGGTAGAGATTACTATTGGGGCAGGACAAAGGCAGTGTCACCTTGGCTCCCCAGGCTTTGGTAACTTAACGATTGCTCTTCCTTCAGTGATGCATGAGAGACAATTGATGGAAACTGCTGCAGCCTTAGCTTGGCAGAAAATCGGACTAAGTCTTTGTTGGGGTAAATCTTTGGCCTGAGAAAGTTGTTCCTTTTACACTCAACAGAGAAAGCACCGAGTTATTTGGAATTTTGTGAACCACAGACTGAGGGACAGGGGTGAACAATAGGCGAGCCCAAGGAGCAGGGTGGCTGATAGGCAGTGGAAGTTGGGTGGAGAGCAATGAAGAAAGGAGGAAGAGAGAAAAGGCAAATTAAGAAGACCTGAGCATCCTGGGAAAACTTTTTCTCCTACAAGCTCTTTTTCCATGTAAATTGGGAACGAAATGAAGATCATTTAAGGTAATTCAATGTGTTAAGGAAGGTCTGTGTAATATCTGAAATTAAAGGGGAACTGTCTGCAATTCTCAGAAATCTCGGGGGAGGTTTCTAAAATTATCCTTAAAAAAGATTATCGATTCTAATTTCAACAACAAATTATCTGATCCACGTTCCAAGTTATACAGAATTCCCAATTCTCCCTACTTCTTTTCACATCTTCCCAACTTGAAACAGCAGCTTGAATATCACCAGAAATTTATTACCACCTCAGTAGTCCATGCTTCACTTCTGCAAACTCTCTGATTCCAATCTTGCCAAATATGGTACACAGTGGCAGCAAAGCTTAGACTAAGAACAACCTGCTAAAAGACTTAAGATCACATTGAGCACAGAATCACACCAGCTAATTGTTCCACTCAAATCTTCCTCTTTATACATCTTGAGGCATCTGAGTTTCCTTCCAGATTGCGTATCGACAGTAAAAGAAACACCAAGAAAGCACTCTTTTTTCTGTCTTTCTTATTTTTTTTCCCCAGGAGAAATTAAACAGGCATATCTGTTTCTGGGGAGGTTAAACGCAAATGTATTTCTCACTTCTCTACATTCAAGAGCAGCCAAGATTTTCTGTTTTTGAGATCTATAATAGAGCTGCGGTTGAACTGAGCCCCGCATAATGCAGTTTAGCATTTTAAGATTCCACATGCTCAGTTCAAGCTCTAAAACAATTTTCAACCTTGGCATCTGAGTTTGAGGTTATATTAAGCTTGCGAAGTCAAATTCAAGGGGAATGTCTAATCTAATTGACGTCACAGGTAAGTTCCAGACTATTATCAGAAGAGCTTATCAAGATGAAAAAAAAGAATCACATGTAAGAATCTTTGCAAGCAATCACCCACTTGGCCTCATTGATGAAAACCAGAAAACAGAAACCTTAGGATAAAATTTTCCAGTAGACAAAGGAAATAGTAGGATATGCCTCTGCAAGGGAGTGATGAGCTACTAACCAAGGAGGTGGAGATGATTACTTCTTTTCCTTCCTTAACCATCATCTTTTCTTCTCTGTAATCCAACAAGCAAGAGCATTTTCTCAGGCCATGTACATCTTGCTCAAACTTAATAGTCTGGAGGGAAGTGGAACATTGGTCTTTTGCAGCATTGGTTTCATGTAGATGTAGTGAACCAGATTACTAATATTCCTCTTAGTTTGTATGACAGGAAAGATAGACTATTCTGGAACCTCAGCAAGTCTGGAATCTACACTGTGAAGACCGGATATGTGATTGCTAAGGAGGAAAAGGAAAAAACAAATCAAAGGCTAGCACCTGATCCGGAAACCAGCTGGGAGATAAGAAAGCATACAGTTTGGAAAACTTTGTGGAGCCTTAACATTAAGATGAAATTGAAACATTTCTTATGGAGATGTCTACAAAACGGATTGGCTACTAATGAAGCTCTCTACAAAAGATTTGGCATAGGGAACAAGATTTGTCACTGCTGTGGGGAGGACATGGAAACCATTGAACATATCTTTTTCAACTGCCCAACAGCGCAAGTAATATGGAAGATTGCACCTGTTCGGTGGGAAGGGCTAGCTAAACTTCAAGGCAACCTGTGGAGATGGTGGGAAGCAGTGTTGCAGGCAGCAAAAGAGACTCAAGGTGTGGGCAGAATCCAACTTACAGCAAACATCTTATGGCAAATCTGGAAAGCAAGGAACAAGTTTGCTTTCCAGCAGGAGATAGCTGATGCAAAGATAATTGTTGACAAGGCACAACAGGAATGGATTGAGTATGAGGCAGCAAAGGAGTCAGACACAGGATCAAATTCTGAACCAGGAAAGGCAACACCAATCCAGCAGCGTTGGGAACCTCCTAAGGAAGGAACAATAAGGATCAATACGGACGCTGCCATCTCGGCTAAAATGGTCAGATCAGGTCTTGGGATTATTGCAAGGAACTGGCGCGGAGAATTAGTGAGAGCGAAAGGAATTACTGCGAGGAGGAAAGGAATTGCAGCCACTGAAGAAGCTCTAGCAATCAGAGGGGCGCTCGAAATGGCTCAGCTTGCAGGATGGACAACTATAGAAGTCCAATCTGACTGCAAGCATGTAGTGAGCCTCATCAACACGGACAATGTCCAGGACTGTAGTCTTCAAACAATCCTGGAAGACATTGACGTTCAGAAGAGAAACTTTGAAAGCTGCACTTTTACTTTTGTACCTAGAACGGTGAATCAATGTAGCCATGAATTAGCTCAATTTGCAGCAAAGGCAACTAGAAGCTTTGAATGGGAAGGTTCTTTCCCAATTTGGCTTTCAAGTCTAGTTAGAAAAGATATGGGGGTAGTTACCCCTTTTTGTAATTAACTCTTGTATTTTCAAGTGCTGATATATATATATGAGTTTATCGTTTGTCAAAAAAAAAAAAATAATAATAATTCAAAAACGAAAAAGAGCATTTTTTGGGTCATTTGAAATCTTTCTACCCTCTAGATCTTCATATCCTAACAGATCTTTTTTTCCTTTAGTTCCCATTTTCAGTTACCGAATTCAACCTGCCTAGGCTACTAAGAGGTTCAATTTACTTTCTAGAATAAGCTAATAAACACAGATACACAGTGCAACTATAATCCGTGCTTCTATTATAAGTTTCTATTTAAATACATCCCAGTCTGAAAATCTTCAAACTGAGCATCTCTCCATTGGACGTTTTCTAAGATTCATAACAAAATTTAACTGTGAAAATCTAAGTAGAATTAAGCTGATTGAACCATAACTTTAGAAGTCCAGCAAGCACAAAGGATAGCTCTATATTTCTACCGCCCTTAGCTATCATAAGCTTGAGCTCCAGAACCTGACCAACAAAACAAGCAACTCAACAAATTCCAGAGTGCATCTCCTCTTAAAAAGCTAAAAAATCCAACAACCAAGAAATACAAAGCTCAAACTAGAAAAAACAACACATTTCCTTGATCTTAATCTCCTAACTACCATTTTTCCAATCAATCGAAATTGCTCTTTCATAGCTCATACATGTCAAATCTTTTCCAGACCAACATGTGGAGAGACTTGAGGGAAAAAACAACAATTTGTTTTGGTACAATTATATTTTCAAGACTAGTCTAGGAACCAAACCACCAAGCTAATTGATATCCTACAAAAACGGTAGCGCCGCCCAGGAAAAATTGCTCTGCTAGATGCCATTCACTCTAACCAGAGGTAAATTGCACACGGAGAAAGCCATATTATTAATTTGCGAACAATTATTAACCACTGTATAATAATAATAACATTAAAATAAAATGAAAGAGAAACTTACGGTGTTCGGCGTCGGCGTCAAGTGCTAGCTGTATATTTTGGGGTATTTAATGGAGAAAAAATATCAAGGCAGAAAGAGGAAGGAGGGTAGGTATGGCGGAATAGAAGAAAAAGACTTGTTGAAAGCGAAAGGTGCAATTGGACTTATCCAGCCGGATGCTAGGAAATATATCGGGAAGAAGGTGGCGACGGTGGCACGGTGGCGGTGACGGTGGCGGTGAAAGTGAAGGAGGAGACATTTTTACTGTTAATACTTAATAGTAATACCTTAATGGGATAATTTCAGAAACCTCCCCTGAGGTTCCTAATAATTTCACTAGCCTCCCCTAAAGTTTGTAAAATTATACAAACCTCCTCCGAGGTTAAGATTTTGATAACAAAGTTAATCCAATTAAAACAAATAACATTAAAAAAGTACTTTAAAGAGAGAGATGAAACTTTTATTTCATAAATATCCCTTATACATATATATAAGTTGTATTGGTAAAAAATAAAAATAATAAAAATGAGAAATAATTAATACATACATTTAACCACTTAAAAAGTTCACATTTAATAAATTACACAATACTAATAAGCAACAAATTTTCCCTCCATTTAAAAAATTTTCAAATTTTGTTTTTTTTCCCTCATTTCTCCCTTATTTCCATGAAATTACTTTACAATTATCTCTTTTATTTCAATAAAATTACTTTACAATTGTCATAATTTTAAGAGTTTCAAAGAAAACTAAAAAGAGGGAAAAGAAATGCAAAATTTAAAAACTTTTCTATTCAAAATTACAAGAATCATAGCAAACATTATGTTAAAAGAGTTGACTAGTTTATTTTGTTGAATTTTGTAATCATTAGTGTAGTTTTGTTACTTATTTGTATTATCTAATTTATTAAATGTGAACTTTTTGAGTGGTTAAATATGTGTATTAATTGTTTTTAACTTTTAATTATTTTTATTTTTTTACTAATACAGCTTATGCACATGCATAAGGAGTATTTATGGAATAAAAGTTTCATCTCTTTCCTTAAAGTACTTTTTAATATTATTTTTTTTAATTGGACTAATTTTGTTATCAAAATCTTAATCTCAACTTGAGATTCTCAAGGAAGGTTTGTAAATTTTACAAACTTTAAGAGAAGCTAGTGAGATTGGTTTCTGAAATTTTCCCTACCTTAATACTACGACTCTACAGAGCTCGCTCGATTATGTTTCCTTTTTACTTTTCTCATTTTCCAATCAGATTTTTTTGGTTATTTTATTTACTCTGCCTTTTTTTTTTTTTTTTTTTTACAAAGATTAGTTTGCAAATATTAGAATCTAGAACTTAGCCCATTACAACTAACCCACTCTAACTTTAGCCCAAGTTTTGAGCATGTACAAAATTGTGTAATTGCTATAATAACATTACTTTGTTATATTTTTTTAAAAAAAATTACTTTGTTATATACATAAATTTTATGTTTATTTACACTAATTCAATATATAAATACAACCACGTCGATAAAGGTACACTAACTTCTGCAAACAAATACATCAACCTTCCAATTGTACCTAATCTCAATTGCAATTGCCCCAAATCTCTTCAACCCCACCTTAAATTTTGATTCAACAATATTAAAATTAGCCAATTATAGTTTTGCCACAGGTCACGTACGGTAGAACTCATGAACACTGATATATAATTAGTTATAATTACAATTAGGAACCAACGATCCAAAGAGGACTAAGGGTGTGCTTGATAAAACTGAAATTTAAAAAATAACATTTGAAATCTGAAGTTTGAATCTATTAAGTTAGTGAATTGTTAAATACTAGATTTGATACATTTAAGTATATATCACATTAAGTAAGTTTTACTTAGAAAATTTAGTGCCATTTAATTAATTCAGATATTATATTTTTGCTTATCAAACGCATCTGAACATATTAAGTTTAAGTACTAAATTGAGTTATCAAAGAGAGCCTAGCACATAAGTAAAACGTACTCAAATAAGTGGACAAATGGTGAGATGAACGCGTTACCAAATCATATGTGCAATTAGTTCAATTACAATTTAGTACCTCTAATTTTTTAGTGTCAATTTTAATTATATGATCACTAGACCAAAGTTTTATTATCTTTCAATTAGTAATTATCCTTACAATTATTAAAATTGCAAATATATATATATAGAAGGACAAAAATGGCCTTGTATAGTTTCCTCTCTTGGCAGTTGGATCCTTTCATAATTTGTCAACAGTTATTAATGACTTTATCAAAGTAGGTATGATGGACCAAGTTATAAGAGTTCCCTCACTTTAAGAAAAAAAAACACATTTAAAATTTTTCCCAATCTTAGTGACCTGTTTGACATTTGTTGTTACTTGCAAGGTCTAAATAATTGATACTACTACATTTTTTCTTTTTTCTTTTTAAGTTTGAGATACCAAATTGAGACTTTAGGATTAATATGACACATTTTCAATTTGAGAGACCAAATTCAGATTTCGAAGGAGAAAGATGGTATTAATCCTCAATTTTATTTAAGAAATTAATTGGTACAACATATGCACCCTTACAAAGTACAAACATTCTTCATACGGAGTACTGACACTCTCAAACATTCCCTTCTGGATGCACTTGCATACCCATCTCTTTCTCGTTCCCTGACTCAGAATACTCAAATCTCTTGTAAATAAAGCCCTTTGTCACAAAAAGATATACGCAAAAATTCACAGCACTTCACCCTGCCAATATCCAATAAAAGTAGTGAAGATTTGCTCGATTTAGATTGTCAACAAGCCACTTCTTCCCGCTGATCCCTTGAACTGCAGTAATTGCTAAGCTGCTCATGAAGTTTCCAACTCCAATTGAACTAACATATGCAGCCGCACCCATGCTTCTCATTTCCTCAGGCATTTGATCGTAGAACAACTCCTGCATTCCAACAATGGTGAACATATCACAGACCCCAAACAACATATATTGTGGAATCAACCACCAAATTTTCATGGGGACCATCGATTTCGGCGAGTCAGTAAGCCCATTCTCTCTTGCAGTTTCTACTCTTTTAGCCTCCACCAGTCCAGCAACTACCATGGCTATCGAAGATAAGAATAGTCCGGTGCCGATTCGCTGCAGCATTGTTATTCCAGAGGCCTGGCCGGTGAATTTTCTTGCTAGTGGAATAAATGCCCGTTCATAAATAGGGACAGATATGAGGATTGTGAGGCCTGTAACTACTTGCAATGAAGCAGCTGGTATGCGAAATTTTGAGGTTGGACCGAATGCACGGACCATGGTGCTGCCTTGTTTTGTGAAATATGTACTGAGTTGTGCTGTGACCATCGTGAAGATGAAGCATTGTGCCCATATGGGAATCAGGCGGAGTAGGAGCTTAACCTCCTCTACTTGATTCATGCTGCATAACCTCCAGGGGTTTCTCTTCTCACTTGATGCATCTATGGAATCAATGATTGCTGCTTTGTCTAGAAATCTGTCGATGTAATTGGCAAGAAGACCTGGAAATATTAGAAGGGTTTTTCTATTTTATGCAATACGCACATCGAAAAAGGTTGGGTTCATCTGTTCATCATTCTCCCCATGAATTGGTTGCGACATTTTAGCGTAGAAAAGAATTTAACTTTTAAGCACAAAATAGCATCAAATGCACTTTTATTTGATAGAATGACCCATATCAGAATATTAAGAGTAGAAGATGGAAAGATTACAAGAAAAATTATATCCTAGGCCTCGCTTATCATTTTCCATTCATCCACGGTGAAAGGGAATAAAGGTTTTTATCCTAGTATTGAAAGCAAGACACTCACTTTATTTATTTTCCTCCACCTTCTCCTACACCTTCAATTCTTTGAAAAAGTTCTATAAAAACCCCACTTCAAAGTGAATTTCTTAAAAAAGAAAGTGTTGAAAACTAAATTATGCCATATTTTTAGATAAAACTTAATTGGCAAATTATCACTTCATAGTGGATCTCTAGAAATATAGGCTTTGAAAACTAGAATATGGGATATGTTTAGATAAAACTTTGCAAACGATAATTTTCAAATGTGTTGATTATTGAAGTAAAATTTTCTTCTGGCCATCTAGCCAAAAGTTAGGGGGAAAAAAGGAATTTATATTTCTATTTAGAATCTTGTATTAATAAAAAAAGATGTTAAATGCTTGTTAGATTCATTTAGTGCTAATATATATAAGAGAGAGAGAGAGAGAGAGAGAAGACGTAAATCTACCTAAGAATATAAACACTAGATTGTATTGCATCCGGGACATCCGATAAATTATAATCTATGAATATAAATACTCGTACATGCACAAATGAATCTTGCTAAATATTCACAATTGATTGACTATGGTGGGATGAGTTTCGTTCACAATTTGGCAACGCAAAATTATTCTAATTTGAAATAGACATAACGCTGCTGTGTGTGTGCAAAACTTTTGTAATTTTGCCCTCAAAATTAAATCCATAAATTCTTGTTGAACTAACTGCTATGTATATTAGGGGAAAAAATTGACATTATATCATCTTCAAGATTTGACACATCCCTAGTTTTAAATAGACAAAATTTTATGTGAGAGTTTTATTAGTTTTGTATTTATTTTATTGATCTAAGTTTTTTGTTTGGATTGTGATTTTTCACAGAAATTTTTTTACACTTTCTATGAATACATTTTTCAATCATTTTTTTACCTCACATATATCAAATCGCTACAATATATTTTTCTGTAAAAACTCCCAAAAATAGCAATCCAAACGAGTTATTTCTTAGATCTATTTCGTCGGATCTCACATTAACATCTAAACCTAAATAAATTCATTAGCAGATTTGTGGGAAAGCAAACAATACGGTTAGAAACACACACAAATGATCGTGGGACTATAAATATTTTATCTTTTAAGTATTTTTCAAAGTTCACAATGTAATGTTCCCTTACCTTTTTAGATTTATAGTGTTTTGTTTTGTTTTTCAAATCTGTTTGTATCTGTGTATGACTGATGTAATTTCTATGGTTACTGCAAATGCAACAAACTAAGATGTTTTTTATTAAAAAAAAAAAAAAAGAAGAGATTTGACACTTCTCTTATATCTTGTACCAAATGCCTCAATTTATGAATTAGTAGATCACAATGAATGGTTAAAATTGAAATACAAGACTCAAAGCCATTTGACATGACATTTTTTCCCCCTCCATTCTGGCAAAACATTCCCCA